TTGGTAATTTTTTTATGTGCTTTTTTCATTCAGTTTTTTTTTTTTTTTTTTTAATTGAGGTCTAACATGGGGTTACTGGAAGCATGGACTAAGCATAGATTCAAATTGCAATACAGTACATATCCATCACTTGAAAATATAACATCTATGAACCAAGTAAACAACTTCCGTATTTCAAGTATCCAAGACCTCTCAAAAAACAATATTAAAGATGACAAATGGTAACCTTTTTGTGGAACACCACTATTACAGAGCACTGTCCTTCAATATGACTGTAGTAAAATTACTTGGATAAAACAAACAGTTATGGGATTACATAGGAACAACCTGTGAAAGGACACAGGTAATGGTGTATGCATTGCACGGGTTAATCATTTTTACACTGAGTAGCAAGAACAGGGAATACCAAACAAATTAACATTTCACTCTCGGACATGCTTTAGTGGTGTATTAGGAAATGTGATGGTCAAAACTGAAAACCTATGTTCAGGAAACTTACGAGTCCAGTTATTCCAACAGGAAGAGAAGTCGACTCCTGTCTGTCCCTGCTATAGATGATAGCAATGATGGCCACATTAATGCTTCAACAGCTTTCAAAACTGGCCCCAGCTGTAACTTACTGGCAGGTAGATTACAAGTTCACACATTTACTTTTCAGACCAACACAATTTTCTACATTTACACAAAATCAGACACTCATCCTTGTGTGAAACACACACACACATTTATGTACAATCTTATATACAGAGATACAGTATCAGTAATAGTGGAGGGAAAGTGCTGGTCTTTTAAGTGGGTGCAGTCTAGCCGCTGTGCGGTAGGCTATAAAATGGTACGGATAACAGCGTTAAGGTTAGATATTTTATTTACACTGTCTCTGATGATGGTAAGGTGATGATGTTTCATTGTGATTCCATCTTCCTAAAACTTGCATTGTTGATTCAGCAGCTAAGTCAAGTGCATCCCACAGATGGAGGCGGAGGACCAACAGTTGTGTGTCAGTCAGACAGGATATGAACAAAAGACATGGGAAATACACCTTTCCTCTCTGGCTGCCCTTCGATGTGCCCAATCTGAAGACAAAAAAAAGAAAGGTTGCAATCAGAATGTGGCTCTAAATGCCAGTCTAAATCAAGAAAGGAATAACTGATGATGAACTACTGTATTTCTGAAAAGGAATGCCAGATTACCAGTTAAATTTAATTCAATGGCCTGGAAACAATTCTGCTTTAACCATGGTTTATTAGTATTTCATCTTTAAACGACACTGTGTGACTCTTGGTTTTATTCCAAGGAGCCTATTTGTTTATGTACTGTAGGTGGAATCGTTCCAAGGGCTACGCACAGTGTGCGACCGCACAGGGCCTCGCTTCTAGAATTTTTGCTTCTTCAGTCTCATGCTGTGGTGCACATGCTTGAAAATTTGGTGTTGTTACACTTACCCACCACTCCTGATCTTCTTCCCCGGTTACTACAATGACCTCACCCTCAACGAAAGTAAGCTCATCATCATTATCTGCCTGACAATCGTAGATAGTCTTCACCCTACGCATTTTACTCTTTATCTGATAGAAAGCAAAACAAATAATGTAAGAGAGTTTGTTGAAAGCAGCTTGTTACATACTTCAATGCATTTTTCCAAAGCATCGGTGACCAAATCCTTACCGGATTTATTTTCCTGGGCAACGGTACAGGCGTGTCTTGTGCAGATGTTGGGCTTCCATTGGTGTCTTCACTAGACTGGACAGGTTGAGGAGACAGTTCAGCTTGTTGGATGATTGTTGGAGTATCTGGTGGTTGGGGCTTGGGAGCCACTTCTCCAGGAGGAGGTTTGTGGAGGACCTCAGTGGTTACAGGTTTGGGTGGGGAGATGTCTGTCAGTTGAGGTTTGGGCGGGAGATCTTTCAGCTGAGGTTTAGGGGGTAGATCACCTAGCTGGGGTTTAGGGGGAAGGTCAGATAGCTGAGGCTTTGGAGGCAGTTCTCCTGGTTTAGGGGGTAATTCTGAAGGCTGTGGTTTAAGAGGTATATCTCCAGGTTGAGGTCTATCGGCTAACTGAACTTTCTGTGGAGTATCTGAACTCTGCAGAACCTTCTGGAACAGGACAGGTTCAGGAGGCTGGTTGGTTTTGTCCATAGATGGGTGATGGATGGTATCTATCTTTCGCAGAGAAACTATTGGAAAAAAATAAATGTTAGTAGATTAGTTGTATGTTTTCTGTCTAATTTTTGATATAGTTCTAGACAATTTTGGAAGACCAATATGAGGAAATATTTCCCTCACTAACAAGATGTTGGGTTAGGTTTAAAATGCCAGTAGAGCACACTAGAAAATAGGGTTTCCAAAAAGTATAAATAAATAGCAAATGGCAAAAGAAAAAAATGTCTCCTTTTTTTGCGCTGTAAAAATTTCAACAATAGTTTTTGCTGAAATACTTGGAATAAATTCTTTTGTTTGTTGCATCTTTTAATGAAGTTACTCCTCATCACTGCCACTGGCAGTTTATAGGGTAAATTTTGTGATGTGAAATTTAATTTGAAAATGTTTCTCTTTAAGTAATACATCTAACTGTACTGTAATAGTGGGTAGGAAAAGATACACTATCAGCTTAATACAAACTAAATTATACATATGTGAATGCAAATAACTATACACTTGTGATTATTCATGAATAACTAAATGAATTTCTTAATGGAGTTTATTTTATTTCACCATACAGATGTACCACAGCAATATTCAAAAGAAGAAAGCATGTCACCTACCCTTCTGAGGTAGTTTGGGAAGGACCCGTGGACCAAGTGTGGGCTTTGTGGTGTTGAGACTAGAAATATGGAACACATGTAAGCCTCAAAGCAATGTCCGATAATATCGTATTTACACGCTTAGTAAAACCAGCCATACTGTATAAAATGGAACTGATTTGCATGCCCAAACAAAATGAAAAAATTACATGGACATATTCAAATGAAACACAAAAGGCCATGTTTAAATTTGCAGTCTAAAGTTTGCTGACTTTTCTAATGCAAATATAGTTCTAGAATTAGTTCAAAAATAGTTCAGAATTGCTATATAAAAACTGCAAAAGATTTGTACTTGCTTGTGTGAATTTAATTCTGAATCAGTTTTGTTCTGGCTGTTTCATTTGCCATATTGAAGCTTAAAGGATGTCGGTTCACCTTTGCTGTTGTGGGATACCCTCAAATCTGTTTTGAGGGTACATCTTGTTGACAGGTGGCGGCGTTGAATCACTTCCTGGAATGATGAGCATGTTGTACAGTGAACATTATACTGTGAGGTACTGTAAGATGTCATAACAAATTAACTAATTTCTTAAATCTCTGATTTTAGTGAGAGAAGTCTATAGAGCCTCTAAAGTGACATTTTCAGAAAATACTTTTGTGTGACTTTCACACCGGGGGCGGGGGGAAAAAAGTTTGGCGTCAGTAAGATTTTTTTTTTATGTTTTTGAAATTATTTTATGCTCACTGCATTAAAAATAATAATAGATACTCTGCGGTTGGCTTTTCAGTATCGCGATATTACAATATTGCGATTATCGCGACAGCCCTATGCTTTAACATTCTTATGTAAACTGATGTTTTCAGAAACAAGGAAAAAAAAATATATAATACTGAACGCAAAATTTTGAATTGCAGTGTACATAAACTAAAATGCATTTAAGTATAAGCAACATGCATATTTACACATGTAAGTTTGTTGTGTACATGTGAAAATCTCCAGGAATTCTTTCTGCAAATGTCACTTGTTTAGACTCAGTATAGTAAAGCAAACTTTATTAAGACAGCAGAAAGGTAACACATTAGCGCAAGGCCACGCACAATAATGGTATTATGCATCTCAAATTATGCAATTATTATTTCAATCAACAACTTAATTTAGATGGGTTATATCCAAACAGATCATGGCAAGATGCAATGCATTCAAGTATGTCTTTCACCTATTAATAAAACTCAAACCATTATTTTGCCATGCCTTTCTCTTTCCCATTACCCAAAATGGTAAGAAACATGCAAACCACTGGGGCAGGATACAATGCAGAGGTCAAAAGGTTAGGGATGGGTCATTAGGCCGAGGCTTTCATTGGCAATATTGTCCTCTCAATATTGGTTTTCATACTTAAAATGTTATGGAGTTTAACATGTAACAACACCACAGAATGAATGGGATGCAAATGATCTGGTAATATATTGTAGAGACTAAACCAAAAGTAAATGCAGGATGCCTGGGGATGGTAAAAACAGCTACTAAGGATTGATCTGAAATTAACCAAAAGACTGTAATTTCTTGCTAGAATGTTATTTAAAAACAACTAAATTGGTGTTTCAACTGAAAACGTCTAATATAAATGGAAAAATCAAATCCATTCTATGTGGATCGGAGTAAATTAAAACCTGGACAAAAATAAACACCAGAAACATTAGTTTTGTAATTCAACCTAGAGTTGTTGACTAAGTATAGCCCACCTTTACTGAACGGGGTGTGTGAGA